GCAAGAAGGGGCTGGAAAGAGGTATTCCAAGTCATGAAAACCAAAGACCTACAACCAAGATGGCTCTATCCAGCAAAGCTTTCATTTAGAATGGAAGGACAGATAAAGTGCTTCTCAGATAAGACCAAATTCAAGGAGTTCATCATCACCAAGCCCTTATTATATGAAATGTTAAAGGGACTTACCTAAGAAAAAGAAGATAAAAAAGATGAACAGTGAAAGGACAGCAAACTCACAGTTAGTAACAACCACACCTAAAACAAAAGCAAACTAAGAGGACAGCTAGATCAGGAGCAGAACCATAGAAATGAAGATCTCATGGAGGGTTAGCAACAGGGGAGTGGGAGGAGGAGAAGGGGGGAGAAGGTACAGAAAATAAGTAACATAGACAGTAGATAGAAAATAGATAGGGGGAGGGTAAGAATAGTAGGGGAAATTCAGAATCTAAAGAATTTGAGACATGTGTTCATGAACTAAAGGGGGAAATGATGGGGGAGGGGTATGCAGGGTGGAGGGGAAAGGAGGGGGGAATAGAACAAATGTAATGGCATAATCCATAAAAAAGTTTAAAAAAAAAGAAAAGAAACAAAAATTGTCCTTTGCATATAATATGATCATGTATGTAGAATGAACCTATAGATTCTTAGAATATGTAAGGTAATTTAGAAGATAATATATAAAAGTTAATCATATTCCTAAATACACAACTAGAAAACAAAAATTAAAACCTTTTTTACAATACTATAAAATTTAAGTATCCAGGAATAAATTTCACAACGTTGTACAAGATCTTTCAGGAAAAAAAAAATTATAGAACTTTACTGTAAGGCATTAAAAAGACCTAAAGAAATGGTTTAGAAAACTTCATGCTGTAATAATATTATTTATATATTGGTTTATAAATTCAATATAATACAAAAATATCTTGCAGGCTTATTTCATATAACTTAATAGTATAAGAAATGTAAATGGCTAAGACTGGCTAAGACACTCTCCTAGAAGAACAAAGTGGAAGAACTTACTCTACAATAAGACCTGTTACAAAGCTACAGAAACTGCTTAAAAAAAGCATGTTCACACAGGGACATATGAGTAGGTCAATAGGGCAGAATAAAAAAGCCAAGAAACACATTCACACACAAATGGGCTTTTGATAAATGACAGGTGGCAACTGGCTATCTGTACGGAGGGAAAAATGAAAAACTGAGCCCCTACCTCATCTACACAAAAATCAAAACTAAGTTGAACAACACACAAAAAAGCACTAACAATAAAGAAATTTCCGAGACTTCCGCCAAGATGGAGACGTAGATGGAGGATCCACCTTGCCTCTGTGCACAACCAAATCTAAGAACAACTATTTTTAACAGCAGTCACAACCAAGCCACACGGAAAATCGACAATACGGAGTCCAAAGGACAACTAGATACTCGGCTGGACCGGTAGGAGGAGCGAGGCCAGCAGCGGAGCAGGTTAGCAAGAAAAAAGTCCCGGGGCGGTGCGCGGCGCGCACAGGCAACCGAGAGCACTGATCGCCAGCCAGCTGGCTGCCGGAGCGCACAGGGAAAAGGCGCGGCGATCAGTCGGTCGGTCGCGCGCATTTACGTGGGGAGAAGCCAGTGAGAAGGGAAGCCGGAGCGGGGCAGCAGGCTCGCGCAATTCCGATCGGATAAACCCCAGGCGCGCGGAGTGACTGGAAACGCTGGGCTAGTGGAGAGGAATGCCATTACTCCCTCTCTGACCCTGCCCCCACACACAGCGTCACAAACCAGCGACCTGGGTCGCCCCGTCCTGGTAAACAACTAAGGCTTTGCTCCGCTCACTTAACAGCACGAACAGACCAAAAATGGCTCTAGGACAACTCAGAGCCCCAGAACCGATAGACCTAAGTGATGAAGAAATAGCCAGTCTTTCAGATGCACAGTTCAAAACACTGGTTATAAGGATCCTTACAGAACTGGTTGACTTTAGCCACAAATTAGAGAAACATATGGAAGCTAAATTAATTGAAATGAATGGGGATACAAAAGATTCCAATAGTAATGGAAAGAAAATTGGGACTCAAATCAAGGGAGAGAACCAGAAGGAAGGAAAAAAGGATCAAACAGAAAGGAATGAAGAAATAAGAATTCAGAAAAATGAGGAGAAGATTAGGAACCTCCAGGACATCTTTAAACGTTCCAACATCCGAATTATAGGGGTACCAGAAGGGGGGAAAGGCACAACCACCAGTTGAAAAATTATTTGAACAAATAATAAAGGAGAATTTCCCCAAGATGGCAAAGGAAATAGACTTCCGAGAAATCCAGGAAGCTCAGAGAGTCCCAAAGAAGTTGGACTCAAGAAGGAACACACCAAGGCACATCATAATTACATTAGCCAAGATTAAAATGAAGGAGAGAATCTTAGAAGCAGCAAGAGCTAAGGGGACAGTCACCTACAAAGGAGTTCCCATCAGACTGTCAGCTGATTTCTCAAAACAGACCTTACAGGCAAGAAGGGGCTGGAAAGAGGTATTCCAAGTCATGAAAACCAAAGATCTACAACCAAGATTGCTCTACCCAGCAAAACTTTCATTTAGAATGGAAGGACAGATAAAGTGCTTCTCAGATAAGACCAAATTCAAGGAGTTCATCATCACCAAGCCCTTATTATATGAAATGCTAAAGGGACTTACCTAAGAAAAAGAAGATAAAAAAGATGAACAGTGAAAGGACAGCAAACTCACAGTTAGTAACAACCACACCTAAAACAAAAGCAAACTAAGAGGATAGCTAGATCAGGAGCAGAACCATAGAAATGAAGATCTCAGGGAGGGTTAGCAATAGGGGAGTGGGAGGAGGGGAAGGGGGGAGAAGGTACAGAAAATAAGTAGCATAGACAGTAGATAGAAAATACATAGGGGGAGGGTAAGAATAGTAGGGGAAATACAGAATCTAAAGAAATTGAGACACATGTTCATGAACTAAGGGGGGAAATGGTGGGGGAGGGGTATGGAGGGTGGAGGGGAAGGGAGGGGGGAATAGAGCAAATGTAATGGCATAATCAATAAAAAAAATAATAAATTGGCAATAAAATGTAAAAAAAAAAAAGAGAAATTTCTTAATAAATTTTACTACATTAAAATGAAGAACTTCATTCAAGGCACAAATTTCTAAAAAGGGAAAGAGAAAATAGAGTAGACGAATCTTGCAACCCATATAAACAACAAAGAAGTCAGAAATAAATGTATAAAAACTCCTATAAACTAGTGAGAAAAAGATAGACAACCCAATAGAAAAGGGAGCAAAGGCCTGAATGGGCACTTTAAAAGAAGAAATGCAAGATACTCAAAGTTGTCAGTAACCAGAGGAATTAAAATGTAAACCACAAGAAGATACCAGTATTCACAAGACTGACAAAAATTAAAAATTCCGTAACAGCAAGTCTTGGTGCAGATACAGAACAAGACCTCTCAAACATTCTTTGTGGCAAAGCAAATTGGTACAACTACTTTAGAAAAGAGTTGACAGCATCTGGTAATATTAGATATTCATAGCCTATGACCCCAAAATTATGCTCTTAGGTTTATAATTTCATTTAAATATATGCAGATGTCCATTGGAAGACATGAACAAGAATGTTTATACAAACATCTTTAAATAATGGCCAGAAACTCCAGAATCTGGGTATCAAATGTTCAATATTGACAGAATAGGTAACTTGTGGCACATTCGTAAGATGAAATTCTATACAACAATGAAAATGAACAAACCACAGCCACCTGCCAGATGAATCTCACAAATATAATGTTGAAAAAAAGGAAGTAAAACTCCAAAGAATGCATGATAACAATATGATACCAGTCTGCCAAGTTCAAATAAGTTTAGGAATGCATACATATGTAGTAAAGTAAAAAGATAAGCAGGCACATTATCACTACAAAAGTCAGGACAATTGTTACTTAAGGGGAAGGGAGATGGTTACAACTAGAAAAGGGCATGGGGCTTCAATACTGCTAATGCTCTATTTCTTAATGAGTGGAGGTTACATCAGTGTTTGCTTTATAATTACTTGTTAGACTGGACTTATATTTTTACACACTTTGTGCATTTTACAATAAAAAAGGGAAACTCTTCATAAAATCAGGTATTTTAATTATCAAAGTGTTTGTTATCTCAGTGCCAGCAACTGCAAGGTTACTTATAGGATCAAAGGGGGTCCTAAGATGCCAACATTCACCAATGGAACCCATCACTTAATAAACTGATCACTCCACTCCACCATTCCTCCCTGGTTAATGCCAGCAGTTTCTCACACTGAGTATATACACCCACAACTTAAATAAAAGGCAAGTCAGCTGCAAATTCATTCATTCAACAAATATTTATTAATGCCTACCATGTACTTTCCAAACACTGTTCTAGGGAAACAGCAAGTTCCTCTTACAAAAGATGGAGGATTGAGGACCCCCACTCCCATCCCAATTTTTGCGTCCACCTGCTCATCCTCCCTTCCAAACAGGTATCAAACACGAAAGATCTAAAAGGAAGTCAGCACACCCTTGAAGTTATTATCAAAACCCAAACCTTGGGGAATCATGGCCTGCTTGGATTCATTTGGCAAAACCATGGTTTCCCATGTTTCCAAGCAGGCAAAGAGGTTGCCTTATCAAGAGCCCTAAGTCAAGGCACAATCTCCATAATGGTGCTGGTGTGGGAATCAGCTTAAGTGAGGCCGAAACTCCCAAGAAATGCTTTATTTGGGATGCCGAGACCAAAGGCTTGCAATTCTCCGGGCACTGTCTCCTAGATTTCGTGTACACGTGTTTTTCTTGGATCAGAACTTTCATCTGACTCTCTGAGGTCAACCAAAAAGATGAATAAGCCCTGCTCCCAACAAGCTGAATAATGAGCTTCTTAGGGACACGATGAAAGTGAACATGGCCACGACCACGCCACCTGAGTCAAAACCCAGGTGTCCTGACCTTTAGGCCTCTGTTCTGAATGCCCAATACTTACTCTTAGCTCTTCGAAGGCTTCATCTAAGGTGGAAAGTTGGTGGCCCTGGTGAGCCCCAATGACTGGACACAGGACACAAATGAGCTGTTTATCTTCCTGGCAATAGGTGCTCAAATCAAGCCCATGGTCTGGACACTTCCTCTTGGCCACTCTCTCTGCTTCCATTTCTATTTCTGGGTCAAATTCACTTTCTGCCTCAGTTTCTCCCTCAGCCTCAGATTCTCCATCTTCATGGTTGTCTTCCTCCACCTCGCTCTCTTGCTCATCCTCCATTTCTTCCTCACTGTCTTCTTCACTCTCCTCACTCTCCTCCTCACTCTCTTCCTCGGTCTCGCTCTCTTCTTCGGACTCACTGTCCTCCTCGGACTCCTCACTCTGCTCCCCCGCCTCGATCCCTACATCTCTCTCATTCCCCACCTCGGCCTCCACGCCTTCCTTCCCCTGGCCTTCCTCCTGGACTCGGGAGGTCCAGGCCTGGGCACCGTGGACATACTCGGCCAGGTGGTGCCCAGGGAACTTCTGCCTGTGCGCCTCTGCGTGGCGGCGGCAGTAGCAGAAGCCGCATTCTCTGCACACTTCCTCGGCCCCGGGAGCCTCGTCGGGCTCGCACTGATCACACGTGCCATCGTGCGGCAGCTCCTCCAAGGCCGCGCCCCCTCCGGAGGCCATGTGGGTGCGGGGACGAGGCCCAGGTCGTGGGGCCTCCGAGCTCGCCGCCCGGCCTTCGCGGCCCCCTCACGTCCTCCTCTCCACCCGGTCCGAGTCCCGGACCCCGCTTGGCCCCGTGCAGTGTCTCCGTGCGGGCCTGGGGCCGCGGCGAAGCCGGTGCTGCCTGCTCCCAGCAGCCCCCACCCGGCCCAGGAGCAGAGAGCCTTCCCGCGGGCTGCAAGCTCGGGGGCGCAGGCGGTGCTTCCCCGGCCGCCCGGCCACTTCCGGCGCGGCGGCCCGCGCCCGTGTCGGCCCCACGCCGCACAACCTGCTCGGCCTCCAGCTGCCCCTGCGAGATCTCCGCACCGCGCCGCCCCGGTTCCACTTTCCCTTTCCCTGTCAGGCGGGCTCCTTTCACTTCCTGAGTCATTTAAAGTGGCAATGGCCCTTTTCTGCGACTCCTGCGGGGGCTCCGCATCCCTGGAAGGAGGGGAGAATGGAGGAGGCCTCCCTCACTCCAGAGGCGGGAATTGGGCCCCGCCTACCCCCTTCCTCCCTAGAGGTGTCAGTCCCACTTGTCAAGGCCACTAGGCAGGTGTACGTGTGTATTTCAGTCTCCTTCCCATTTGTCACCGATTCCCCCATCCCCCCAAGTCCCCGCTGCTGCGTGCCCTGGAAGGTGCCAGGACCGAATGTTGTTTACCAGAATGAACCCGAGCGCCTGGGATTTCCAGAGGGCCCTGGGAAGGATTGTGTTTGTTCTCCTAGGCTCAGGGAATCTCAGAGTCAGCTTGAGCAAACAGACATTTTCGATCCAAAGCAATATTATACTTTGTCTATTTGCAAAGTCTATTTGCATCCTGGCTCCGAGGGGCTCAGAACCTATAGGGTGACAACCTTTGTACCTTTTTTTTTTTCTGAGAGTCTACCATGGGTTTGGCTGAGATCTCGAGTGAGGTAGCTGAAGAGACAGTATTGATCAAACGAGAGTTCAAGCGTGCAGTCATTTTCCCTTATGTGAGGAGACTGTTTAAGTTCAGATTGGGTTCCATAAGATGGGGACTGTTATTTATTAACCAATACTAAAGTGCCAAGAATTGGTCTAGATCTTTTTTGTGGCTCTTTACAAGGGGGGGGGGGTTGGAAATCCAATACCCAAAGACTCCCAAATCTTGATAATACAATTTGTTGACTTAGTGACCATGGAGAATTTAATTGATCTTCCTGTTTTCCACTTTTAAAAAGGTATGTAGGCAAAGTGGAAATCATGGTAATGCCTATTTCATGAGGCTGTTTTGTGGATGAAATGTGAAGGTGCCTGCCTTGTAGAAGTTTTCACTATACTTTAACTATTATTATTGGTACGGATTATATTTAATGGACATAATGACCCTTTGAAAGGGTTTAAACATATTTTTTAACACATTAAGCATTTTTTGGCTGGCTGCTGGTAGTGTAATCAGCCCCCCAGCTCTACCCCATATCTGTGCCCCCAGGTCATTGAAGAGCTTTTGTTTTGTGTTGGTAAGAGAAAAAGGACATTCTAACCTAGTGCCAGGAGAGGCTGAGATGTGGTTGAGAAGAATGTTTTCCATGGACTCCCTTGGAGAATTTTGAGCTTGAATTTTCAGATGAACATCACAAAAATGCCAGAGGATGGGGTGATATAAAAATCATTTAAAGTAATTTTTAGTGTCTCCATGTATATTGTATACTTGCTCTCTGTGCAGCTTTTGTTAGAGATTTATTATTATTATTATTATTATTATTATTATTATTATTTTAGAAATCTTTGGTTTTTTATAACCTAAAACAATTCTATAAAATGTTGGAAAAAAAGAAAGTTTTTCTTCCCCCAATTCAATACACATTTTTATTTCTTTCCAGTTCATTTTTCTGGAAATTATTTCTATGTCTGCATTGAAAACAGGATTGATGCACCATTCTGAAAAAAATATTCAACAAATGTCAACTCAAACATCAACATTAGTATACCTAGAGAATTGTATTTCTTGCTTGAAGAAACACAATTCTCTAGGTATACTAATTTCCGCCTCTCCGAGCTTACAAGGAAATAGTTTTTTACAAACATAATGTTATAACATTTAAATTTTTTCACTGAAAACAATTTTTAATGTCTTAAAACAATTTGTGGGTGTATATGTGTGTGTCCAAGATCTTTGGTGGAGAAGGAAGGATGTCTTTTTGTTGACGTTATTGTACTTAGTTTTACCATAAACAATTTTGTGTGTGCGTGTGTGTCCAAGATCTTTGGTGGAGAAGGAAGGGTGTCTTTTTGTTGACATTAATGTTGTTACTTAGTTTTACCTGACAGAAAGTAAAAATATCATTCTGTGCAGTTCAGTATCTGACACTTCACATTTCTTTTTTGAGCCTTCCCTGATAAGAGGGTTTAGAGGCAGAAGCTGATGGAACTGCTAAAAAGGGACTTTATAAAGTTCTGGTCATGAGGTATGGCAGACTCAATGAGACAGACCTGTAATCCTTTGAACAGAAATCAGAACAGTGTGATTCCCCATGGAATCGGAATCTTTGGCAGCATCCAGAGATAGGAACCTTGTTATATTAACCTATTACTGCATAGAAAATTACCTCAAAACATAGTAGCTTAAGCAATAAACATTTATTACCTCACACATTCTGTGAGCCAGGAATATGGGAGTGGCTCAGCTGATTGGTCAAACTCAAGGTGTCTCAAAAGATCTCAGTGAAGATGCTGGCTGGAGCTATAGGCACTTTAAGGGGTGACTTGCAGGATTTGCTTCTAAGGTGGCCCACTTACGTGGCTGTTGGCAGCCACGTTCTACTGGGTTGCTTTAGTGTCCTCATGACATGGCAGTTGAATTCTCCCAAAGCAACTGATCCAAAAGAGGGCAAGATGGAAGATTCGATGTCTTCTCACCTAAGCTCAGAAGTCCTACATCATCATTTCTAAAACAGTTCATTAGTTACAGAGATCAGCTCTATTCATCGTGGGAGGGGATTATACAAAGAGCATGAATACCAAGAAGTGGGGATCTTTGGGGCCATCTTTGAGTCTGACTACCATATTTTGCCCTTTTGCCTTCAACTATTCACATCTCTCTCAAATGTAAAACACATTCACTTCCACCTAAGATCCCCAATGTCTCAACTCATTGCATCAGTTCAAAGTACAGAATCTTATCTAAATCGGGTCCAGGTGTGGATGAAGTGGCTCGGTGAAGTGTCTTAAATGCAGCTCCTTGAGTGTAGCTCCTCTCCATCTGAATACTAGTTTTCCTTCACAATACCAACATACAATGATGACACAGGTTTAGAATGACTGGTACAAACACTCCTGTTTAACTGAAGATAAGACACTACAGTAATCCTGAAATTCAGTTGGTCACACGTTAGAAGTTCCTCAGTTAGAGCTCAATTCTACTTCTGCTCAGGAATGACTTTCCATGGCTTTTGACTTCACCCTTCAAGCTCTTGATTCCACTCTGAGTCATCCTTCCTTTTCTATAAAAAGTAGACCATGTTTGCAGCTATATAATTTGTCAGTCTGCTTTCTGCCAGTAGAATATAGGCGATTTAAAGGCCCCTTTTCATTTTGTTCTCTCTCTGTTCCATTCATTCCATGCTGGCATTGTCTCTGCCAATATAATTCCTTTAAAAATGTTGTGAGTCACCTATGAATCTAACTGGGGCACTGCTTCATTGGACAAAAATCATATCCCAAAGTCTACTGTGGAGGGTCCTTCTCCTGAAACTGCTCAAGTACAACACTAATAAGCTTCTTTGAAGCCATATCGTTTGTCTGAATGATTCTCTGAATCACTACTGTAGATCTTTTTGAGGTATGAACAAAGGGGTTTACAGCTACACTCTTAGCTTCATCATTTGATGGTGTTTTCCTTGCAGTTTCCTGGAGTTTATTTTTGACTGGAAGCCATTTCTTCACTTTAGCATTGTCATTTAAAGAAGATGGGGATATTCAAATCTAGCAAGTTCTGGATCCCTTTTTTTTTTAAGTCCTTTAGGTTATTTCTTTCTTCTCACATTTTTTAATAATCAGAAATATGGCATCAGTCAGCACCTTCAGCACTCTACCTGGCAATGTACTTAGTTAGAACACCCAATTAATTAGGCGCATTGTCTACTTTATACATTTACTGCAGGTGATAGTGTTGCTAAACAGCCTGCTGCTGCCTAACAAGGACCCTATTCCTCCAGTTTCTAGTCACATTTTTCTTATTCCCCCTTAAGCATTAATCTACCGTATTTCAAAGGGCATCAGAATTCTTCTAGCAGTTTCTATAACTCTTCATTACTCTCCTCCAAGTCCTTCCAGCTTCTCCAACTGCCCAGTTCCAAAGCCACTCCAACAGTTTAGGTTTTTGTTATGGAAACACCTTACTCTCTATAGTATCATATGCATTATTGTCTGTTAATTAATAATAAATGACCTCCAAACTCTGAGCCCTTTGTGGGGCAAACCACCACACTTGACGTTAGCATTGCCTGCGCATCAGGTTAGTCACAGCTGTTAGGCATTTCCAGGATGGTCAGCAGGCAGCAGCTGTGGGGACAAGGCAGCTAACCTTTGAGGCTGTTTCGTGAGTGCATGTGGGACTTTGAGAACTGAACGGTCAGTTATTATTAAAATAATCTGGTGTCTGCTAATTATGTGGATGATAGCTCTTGAGTTATTAGACATTTGAACTCACCACACATGTGGAAGCCTATGTTCAGAGAGGTGAAAAGACTTGTTAAATGTTAGTCAGCCAGAAGGTGGCTGAATCGGGACTCAAATGTGAAGCTATCTGAGTCGATTTTACCACGTTCGCCTGTGGATTGAACAGGGTATACCCCTCAGTTGCCTGACTGCTTCTCAGTAACCTTAACCGTCTTTTCCTTCCAGCCATGAAATCAATTTCTGTCCCCTTCACCTGTTTCAAAGAGACAAACTGGATTTAGTAAGATTCATAACATAGTACATCTAATTAAAAAAAAAACAAACAAACCCAACGCTCTAAAATTGAGAGAACACGGTGGAATTTACAAGTCCACTGCTTGGCTGGAAGTGTTTGTGCTCCCTGAGTTGGTCCCATTCTTATGATGTCATTAGATTGTCACTTCAGTGACTGATTTCCTTCCCCCTAGCCCAAGCCCCTGAAATCCCCTAAAGCTCATCTCATGCTGTTATCATATTAGCTAACATCTTATCCTATTCAAACCAGTGCAGTGAAATATATCCTCAAGCCAATCCCAACTCTGCCAAAATATAAAGAATGAAAGCTTGATGGGCGAGCCTGACCCTTTTTGTTCCTCAGAAGCTTATTGAAGATAGATACCCAAATGATTCCTCAGCCCAA